CACACCATTCCCAGGGGTCCCACACCTTCCCCAAAAGCTTCCTGGGCTGGTGAGCTTTAATCTCTACCAGCCACTGAACCCTGTGGTGTGAGCTGCACTGCTTGATGGACACGTGTAATAGTGGAGGTGTTTTGCACTATTTAATTAGTGGTTTGTCTGGAGTCTTTTTTGTTTTTACTTAGAGCTAAGATTTAAAAATACACGAAGGAAATGGATATTTTTGGTTTTTGGGCTTGGTTGTTCATTAAATTTTATCAAAAGTACAGAAAGTTCAGCAGCACTTCTAGCCACCTGCTAGAAGTGAGCAAAATGGAGTGAGATTTAGTTACAAGGTTTCTTAAAGCTAAACAGTTTAATAGAGAAATAACACCTATATTATTTATACTTTTAACTCAAAAACTAAATTCTCGTGGCTTAGTGTGGTACTGTCTAACCAGATACTATGAAACTTGTCTATGTCTAACTTGAAACTATGAAGAAGAAGATGAGCACTGAGATACCACCTAAAATTTTCCACTTTGTCCCATACCTATTTCAATGTTATAAAAAATTCAAATTTAAAACTTTACACCATGTGGAAGCACGCACTTCTATTTAACTACACACTTGTAATTTTAACTTCATAATTCAAATTTGGAAGCCTTTTCCAAGGCCTCAGGTTAAAAGCAGTGTTCTGCAGGGGGTCAGTGCCAGAAAGCACAAAAAGTTTTAAAAACCTATTTTTTTTCTGGGATCCCACAGGCACGGGGGAGTTGTGGGGGGCAATTTTGCCTCTCCCCTTCCAGGCTGGACTGCCTGTGCCTATTCCCAGCATCTCTGACACTTGCCTGCCCCTTCCCTCTCCCATTTCCAGCTCAGTGTGTTTTATTTGCTGTTCGGCAGGAAGCAGCCAGCAAAACCGGTGTGGAAAAGCCAGCAGAGAAGGCAACTTGTGAAAAAGGACCCAAAACTTCTGGTGCTGAAGGTGAAGAGGCTGAAGGACACGTATGATGGAGGAGGAGGGGATGGGATAACCTCGTGCCCTCGGCCCACACTGAAAAAGGTTGCTGCCAAACCTTGGGACTTGCCAGTGTTTTCTTGTAAAGCTTGTTACAGTTTGTGTGATCGTGGAAGCAAAAAGCACCTCGCAAAGAAAAGCGACCCCGTCCCCCTGCCCCGAGTGCACTGGGGGCAGAGCAGGAGTGGCAGGGACCATGGGACCACCACACGTGGAACAAATACCATTTAAACTGCAGGAAAAAGGAAAAAAAAATATTATCATTATAAATTAAAACTCTTGGCTCCTGGGAGGTTTCAGTAGACAGCTCCCTGGGCTTTGTGTCCACTCTCAGCACAGCATCCTCTGACAGGAGCTGGGATGTGGGAAATGCTCCCTGTGCACTGCAGTGCTGCCTCTGCTTGTCCCAGCACAGCCCCAGGGACAGCGATTGCCTTTGTCTCCTGCTGACTCCTTGCCTGTGGCCAAAGGAGTTGCAGGGCAGAGCCAGGATGAGAACCCACACGGCCTCTGCTGCAGCCCCTGGGTGCAGGGACATCATTAAAGCACTGTTTGGGGAGGGGAGCACACACAGATTTTACCTTCTGAAGGAGCTGGTTCCTGTTTCTTTAGAGAGCAAAAGCCTGTCCAGCTTTGCAGGTGCTCAACCCACGGCCTGCACCCCATCCCTTGGCTCCCAGCTTTAAATGGGAGTTTTATTGCTTTTATTGGGATCTGCACGTGGGGAAAATAAAAGAACAGGTTGACACGTGGCTCAAAAGCACGTGGCTGGGTCTGAGCTGGTGCCATGGGTTTGTCACTGAGCAGCTTTCCCATGGTGAGGGGGTCCTGGGTGCATCGTGTCCCTGCACTGGAGCTGCTGCTGCCTCCTCCGCCATCAGCCCTCTCCATCCTAAAGGGACACTGTCACTACCCCGTGAAAACAGCTTTCCAGTTGTTATTTTTCCTGTCTCTATAATAATACCCCTTTTGGAGCTTGAAAATAAACAACTGAAAGGAAAAAAAAAACAACAAAACCACTAAAACCTCGTATTTTTTCTCTGGATCCTGCTCAGCAAATGGGGTGGCTGGGGGGGAGGATGGGTGTGAACTCCTCGAGGGGGAGATGCCCCAGCAGTTGAGGAATTATTGGTGTTTCCAAGAACTGGAGCTGCCCAATTTATCAGTGCCATGTTCTCTGGAGAGCCCGTGAAGGGCCAGCAATCCATGCTTTGGAGATGCCTGGCTGGGGGATGCTCTTTGGGGGTCTCAGCTGTTTTTCCAGTCTGGGAGGTTTATCCTTAGGCTTTTTTCCTCACCCCCAGTGTATTCTTTTGGGAGGGGTTTTCCTGAGGGTCAGCTGGGTGGGTGGGAGAGTCATTTGTGCCCCTTGACTGAGGGTGGGGAGAGAACAGAAAGCTGAGCCAGTGGGGTATTAGAACTGCCCATCCCTCTTTTATACCCGCCCTCCACAATCTTGGGAGCCAGATTTGGTTAAATTTCCTCTTCTCTAGTCCCATCAGGTGCTACTGAAGCATCATTTCTCAATCCTGTCTGTTTTCCCACCTTTAGTAGTGGCACAGCATCCACATGGCTCATCCAAGTCTTGGGTTTTCTGCCACCATGGGATTCACCTCCCTGGAGGCTGCTGGGAGACCCAGGGCCTCTGCAAAACGTGGGCTTTTTATTTTTTCTTGCAGGGCAAGAAAGTCCTTTGGGGGCAGCCCAAGCCACATTTTCCGTAGGAAACAATCTCTACAGGAAAAAAAAAAAAAAACCAACAAAAAAACCAACTTGCTTTGCACTTTCTGTGCTTGTTCCCCGTTTTTAAGGAGATTTTTTGTTTATTTTGGCTTGGTGCTTTTCTCTCCCTTGGAAGAGAAATTGAACTTGTGCGGGTGATGAGATGGGGTTTAGAGATGAAAGGGAAGTTTTGTAGGGAGGATTAAGAAGTTCCTGATGCTGGTGGGTCTCAGTGTGCAGTGCTCAAATGCCATCTAGTGGCACCAAGCACGGGCTGGGGGTTTGGGGGGACATGGTGGGCTGGGCAAGGCCAAGGTGGGGACACTGGGGACACTTGGCCTGTCTGGCTTTGCAACCCAACAGCCCGTGGGGGCCTCGGAGGAGGAATATTAAGAGTTAAATGTTAAGTGGTGTAATAAGGAGGTGAGGCATGAGCAGATTATGAAACACATCCAAAGAGACGTCGGGATGTGGGACAGGGGTCAGAGCAGAGCAGTGGTCAGTACAGAAACCCTTGGCACCAGAGCCAGGGATGCTGCCTTCCCCTGCCTGAGCTGTCCATGCACAGCTCACTCCAAACAGCCCAAATCCAGCTCTTCACTCACCAAGAAAACATTTCTGGATGAAAAACAAAGACACCCCGGGAGGATAACCCTAAACACGGTCAGAGAGCTGCTCCCCTGCAATGAGTGGCTGTGCAGTGCCCGGGACCCCGACCTGTGCACCCCAAAAAGGCACTGGGGTCTGGCTGACCCCCTGCATTCCTGCAGAGCCCCCTTTCCCTGCGATTACTCCCCTGCCAGCTGCTCTCCCGGCAAGCCTGGCTGACAGCCCCTGAAATCCTATTAACCGAGTTTCAGGAGAAATAAAGTTAATCACCTCCTCCAGCTGCTCTTCCTCCTTTCGCTTCTCCTCCTCCCTCCCCAGAGACTTGCGGAGGCGGCCGATGCTGCGAGGCCACTCTGGCTCTTGTGGCTGCCTCTGACCGCATGGCCCTGGACTGGTAGGGGCTGCGGGGCCGGTGCCCGGGGCAGGACAGACAGACGGACGGACGGACAGACAGACAGACCCGTCCCGTGCTGGGAGCGATGCCGCTGCAGACCGAGATCCTGCGCGAGGTCTGGGCTGCCGACAGGTCAGTGCAGGGTGGGATCTGCGGGGTGGGTGATGTGCTGGACGCCCCCGCTGGACTCCCCTCTCCTCCAGCGCCTTTTTCTCCTGTTTGCAATTTCAGTGCTATTTTGTGAGCAGTTTTATCACAGTGTTTTTCCTTTGGTGGTTGGTGGGATGATGGTCATTGACTTACAGAGAGGAAAGGTGTTTGACAGAGGGACATCCCTAAATTAAGCTCCTTGCTGGTCCCCCTTGGCCATGGCAGACCCTGTCCTGTGCTCCCTGCTAGGAAGGATGGTGTCAGACAAGCTCGACCCAGTCGAGACAGGGGGAAATGCTACTGGAACCAAATGAAAGACTGACCTTTCCCCTTTACTAAAAATTGGGGCTGAAAGCCCTCACCCTTTTGGTTTCTGTGCCCCACAGCCCCAGTGAAGATCCGGGGAGCCCCCAGCAGCACAAGCCCAAACAGGTGAGAAAAAATCCCTCCCTTCCATCCCATGTGCCACCATCCCCTGCTGTGGGCTGTCCCCGAGGGCTGGGGACATCAGAGACCCTCAAACCCCAGAGTCCACACCAAGGCCAGTTTGGGGCTGGATGGGCTGCTCTATTGGGGTGCTGCAGCCTATGAGGGCATAGGAGTTTTGGGAACCTCCTCCAGAGCAGGTGGGTAGAGAAAATTCCACAGTCCTCCCTTCTTTGTGCATCCTTCTGAATCCCCCCTCCATCACTTTGAAGCACCCCATGAGGAGGGTTCTTGGTTCTTAAATAACAATTTAATTAAGCCCCTCAATTAAGCTCTAAAGTGTGACTCACTTTCCCCAGGCCATGACCCTGAAAGGCAGACCCCCCCCTCCCTACATTTCAGAACAGCTCCCAGGACTCCCCCAGCCTTGGAAGGGTCTCAGCAGCAATTTCATCCACCACTCAATTTAATTTTTAATCAGCAGCTCCTCCTTGAAGGGCCTTGTTAAGTAAGGGAGTGGTTGCCCACCCCGCAGCTGCTTAAGGGATTAGGGGGTGCAAAGGAGCTTTTCCGTGTGAGCTCATGACACGGAAGAAAGCAGCCAGTTCCCAGCTTCACCATGGAGCCCCCAGCTGCCCCTGCCCAAATTCACAGTCCTGGGATCCCACTGGGATCCATCAGGATCCCAGCTTTTGTAAAACACCTTCCCACACTGCCCTGGAGCATGTGGGAGAAGCAAAATCCCTGCAAGGGGGAGGATGCTCTGCTGGGCAGTGGAAGCCTTGGTGCACCTGGATTTGCTGAGATCACTTTCTGAGAGCCCTGAGCTGACACCCACTCCTCAAATACCTCCTGTCCAGAGCCAAGTGCTGACCCACATGCTCTGTATTTGGTAAATCGGGGTTATTTATAGCCCCAGCTAGCCGGGATTAGGTGTGCTGTGCCTAATCCTCCTGTTTCCCTGCTCCTGCTGACCTCCTTGCCATCCACAGGAGCCTCTAGTGGGGGTGAGAGGCCAGGCTGTCTGCCGGTCCTTATGTCCCCTGTCACCAGTGCCCAGAGTGGCTCCCAGCCAGGGTCCCTATGGCCACAGTGTGAATTATCCCTCTGCTGACACGGTGTCCCAGCAGCACCATCATCACATCCCTCATCTCCAGGGCTGTCCCAGGGCAGATATTCTGTCTGTCTGTCTGTCTCTAACAGATTTTTCTGTTTTCCTCCCTGTGCCTTCCTCGGGGGCTGCCCTATGGTAAGTCACTCACTGGAAGGTGTCAATGTGTCCCTGTTCCGAGCGCGTCCCCTGCTCCCGTGTCGGGCCAGGGAAAAGCCCGGCTGTATTTCTGAAAGGGACCCAGAGCAGGGGTTGCCTGGTGCTGGGAAAAGGTGTTTAAAGCTTGCACCACCTCTGCAGCTCCATCCCTGAGGGCAGAAGCTGAAGAAGAAGAGGCAGGAGCCGGGGCTGGAGCCCGAGGCCAAACCACGGCGGCCGCGGGTGAAGAAGCCGAGTGAGGCAGGGGCTGCAGAGGAGCCTCCAGCCCCGGCACAGGGTGAGCACAGATCCCCCACAGCTCCCGTGGAAATGGGGGCAATACTGGGGTCCCCCATCCTGCACCTGGGGCGCTCTCCATCGTGGGCATCTCTTGAAATGCGCAGGGGTGAAGAAAGTGAGGAAGAAAAAGGAGGAGAAGGGAGAGGAGGAGAGCGACAAGGACCCCTCCTCCAAATTCACCAAGGAGCCTCGGAAGAAGAAGGAAAGCCTGGCTCCCCGCTCCCAAGTGGCCAAGGGCTCCAAGAAGCCACAAGGTGCGGGCGCAACACCCACCCCTCTGCAGGCACTCGTGTCACCTCGTGTCCCCCTGCAGTGTGTCCCGATAGTGCCGTCGGTGCTCCCAGCGCCTGCTGGGGCTCAGCTGGGGCTCTGCACATCCCCGGCACAGCTCTTTGGCTAAAACCCAGCTACGGACCTGGGAGACACCGGGATGTGGCAGGGGACCTGCGCTCATTGCCTTGGTCGGGGAGTTGGTATCGAAGGGGAGAGGGGGGAAAAGGGGGGTGACACACTCCCTGGGAAGGTGGCACTTCGGTCCCCGGACACGTCCCCGGAGCGGACGGCGGCTCCGCACGGCCAGGCTGGGCCGCGAGAGAGCGCTGTGGCTGCGCTGGACTCGCCCCTCGCCCGCCGGACAGCGCGGCCGGGCCGGGCCGGGCCCCTCGGCCACCCCCCCCCGGGGGGACACCGTGAGCGGCCACCCCGGCCACTGCCACACAGGGACGGCCCCTCCCCGCTCACCACGAGGCTGGGGATCCCCGCTGCCAAGGGACGTTGTGTTGGCTGATGCCGTGGTCACCTCTGGGCAGAGCCGGCTGAGGATGAGGATGATGAGGAAGAGGAAGAAGAGGTGGAGAATAAAAACCCGCCAAAAAAGCTCAAGAAGAAGCTTCCCAAAGAACCCCTCTCAGGCGGGGGGGAGAAGAAGCTGAAGTCGAAGGGTGAGTGCCCAGGGGACAGGGATGGCTTAAACCCAGCTCTGTTGCCACTGGCATCTGTCCCTGCTGGGACGAGGGAAGTGCCTTGCACCCCGTCCCGGGGGCGGCAGAGCCATCGCCTCCTCCCCATGCGATCTCCCCTCAGCTCAGCCCTTCCTGCTGCTCTGACCCTGTCACCTCCTTGTCCCCATCACTGCCCATTCCCATCCCCCTGGCTGGCTGGTCATCAGCTCCTCTGTCCCAGCAGAAGACAAGAGTGACCCTGACAGCAAAGCCAAATCTGCCAAAAGCACCAAGAAGGAGCCAATGTCCGTGTTCCAGGTGAAGAAGGAGAAGAAAAGCAAGAAGAAGGGTATGGGACGAGCAGGAGGGGGTGGCAGCCAGTCCTGCTGGCTGATGGCATCACCCTGAGCCAGCAGCACCCAGTGTTGTGTGACCATGTCCCCATGTCCCTCACAGCCACCACCAGCAGTGATGAGGAGGATGATTCCGACTCCAGCACCAAACCCATTAGGTCAGAGAAGAAGAAAAACCCAGCATCTCTCTTTCAGACTGGTGGGGACCCTCCGAAAGAGAAAAAATCCAAAAAGAAAGGTGAGTACCTGGCACTGGAGGGTTCTGGTGGGGCTTCTGGGGGTGCAGTGAGCTTGGCCATGGAGAGGGGCTTACAATCACTGATGTTGGCACGGGTCTATGCTGAGCTTGATTTTGGGGCTCAGAGAAGTCAGGATCTTTTCCCTTCTGTGCCCCTTCCTGTTCCTGCTTGCAGTTCCTCCCAAAGGGGCTGAGAGTGAGGAGGAGACCCCGGAGACTCTGCAGAAAAACTCCAACAAGAAGGGGAAAGCAAAGAAATCAAAGAAGGTACAAAAGACCCCTCAGAGCTATGGGGATCCCCTCAGGGAGGGGGAAGAGCAGCTCTTCCCCTCGGGGCGGGTCAGGAGTTTTGCAGCATCCCCCAGTGAGACCCACCAGAGTGTCCCCAAAGCCACCAGCTGCAGAGCCGTGGGGGGATGGAGAGCAAGGAGCAATTAGCTGGGGATGGAGGGATCTCTGGGGTCACCATCCCCTCTCACCCAGCAGCAGAAGGAGGAGAGGCCCCCTTCCCCTGTCATCGAGGTGGACAACCTGGAGGAGTTTGTGCTGCAGCCGGCACCACAGGGAGTGACCGTCAAGTGCCGGGTGACACGGGACAAGAAGGGCATGGACCGGGGGCTTTACCCCACCTATTACCTTCACCTGGACAATGACAAGAAGGTGATTTGGGGTGGGGGCTCTGCTCATCCCAGGGAGCACCCTCAGGGTTTGTGGGGATGCTGGCGTGTCCTGAATGAGGCTGCTCCCCTCTCCTGCAATTCCTCCCAGGAAATGCCCCTGTGGGTGGTACCTGGGGTGATGAGCTAACAGTGACTGGAGAGCTGTGCTAAACTGGGCTGGTCTCAGCCCCTCCTGCCCCGTAATGCAGACAGTATCTTGGGGATCATCTTCATGACTTACTCAAGGTCATGGCAGTGACTTGTTGGGGGACAGCAGTGGCAATGAGAGTGACAATGTCCCATTCCCACACGGTCCCACTGCTCTACCAGGTGTTTCTCCTTGCTGGGAGGAAGCGTAAGAAGAGCAAAACCTCCAACTACCTCATCTCCATTGACCCCACTGACCTGTCACGGGGTGGAGAGAACTTCATCGGGAAGCTGAGGTAGGAGCAGAGGTGGCAACCTAGTTTGGTGGCACCCCATTTCTGCAGCGCTCTCTTCCCACTCCATGGCTTACAGGCTGTCCCAGGCTATGGCTGGGGCTAAACAGGAGGCTAAAATCAGCATTTCCCACTGTCGTATCTGACCTGAGGAGTGGTGGGGGGCTGAGAGGGGAAAACAAGCTTGGCCGGTTCCTCCCAGCAGACAGGTCATGGCTAGAAAAGGCACCTGGCAAGTCCCAGCCTGCATTGCCAGCAGCCACACAGCAGTGCTGGGGGTCCCCGTGGTGGCAGCACCCTATCACACCCCGATTTAGGGATTCCTTGAACCCGAGAAAATCACTGAAGGGTGGGACAGTCAGCATTGGCGGGGTGCAGCACCAGGGCTTTGCAGCCAGACCAAAGCCAAGGAGAGGGGTCACGGAGGGGGTGGAGGGGACTCAGTGGCATCAGCCACGGCCATCTCCCACCCTTGGCTGCAGATCCAATCTGATGGGGACGAGGTTCACCGTGTTCGACAACGGTGCAAACCCCGACAGGGCCAACGCTGACTGGTCCAACGTGCGGCAGGAGCTCTCGGCCGTGGTCTACGTAAGAGCAGCCACACACGGAGCCCCTTCCCAGCTCTCCCAGGCAGGGAGTGAGGGGCTCCCACCCTGCACCCCTTCCCTGGGGCTTGCAGAGATGTGGGATGGGTGGGAGCTACCCCTGAGCCCTCGTTCAGCCCCCATGAGAGGCTGTAACCTGCAGTGGTTGCTGGTTTTAGAGACAGGGTTTCTCTTGCAGGAGACCAATGTTTTAGGGTTCAAAGGCCCCCGGAAGATGACTGTCATCATCCCTGGGATGAATGCGGACTGTGAGAGGGTGCCCATCCGGCCCCGGAACGTAAGTCAGGGATCAGACTGGGAGAAACTCCTTGGGAGCTGGGTTTGCTGGGCACCACCTTGGATTTTACCCATCTTGGGGCATGGAGAGGCTTTCAGGTGTCCCTGGGAGGTGAGAGACATGGTGTCTGTTTTTTCTCTCCATGATAAATCCCATTTCCAGCTGGGTACTGCTACAAAGCATCCCTCAGACAAAGCCACAGCAGGTAGCAGGGCTCTGGAGGGGTGACCCCAACTCTGCTCCACTCTCCCTTTCCCCTCCCCAGGATAACGATGGCCTCCTGATGCGATGGCAGAACAGGAACATGGACAACGTGATTGAGCTGCACAACAAAGCCCCTGTGTGGAATGATGAGACCCAATCCTATGTCCTCAATTTCCACGGCCGGGTCACCCACGCCTCCGTCAAAAATTTCCAGATTGTGCACAGCAGTGACCGTAAGCTGGGACAGGGGATAGGGTGGGGGAGCACTGCCTCGTGAGCTGGCCCCAGCACACACTGCCTTTGATAAGGTTTAGTTTTTTTCATGCTCTGGGGTCCCGCCTGCCTTTGCTGGATCTGGGATGAAGCTGGCCAGGCACCCTTGGGCCCTGGCACTGGCAGGGACAGATTTTGGGGCTGCTGTCGCCAGGCAGATTTAGGGCAAGGACAGATCCTGTGGGGTGCTGAGCCCCCATCTCACTATAGCCACCCACTCAGCCCAGAGCATTGCCCCAGCACACACCCCACAGTGCTGGCAGGCCACCCTGGGGTGCACTGTGCCTTGGGGACAGTCCCTCGGGTGGCAGCAGCTCTGTCTGGATGCGGCTGCTCGTCACCTGTCCGGCGCAGTCAGAAGCCCTTGGCCTCCGGGGTGTTGGGTTACGGGACAGAAAAAGCCTCTTGAGGGCCCCTGGTTATTTTTACAGATTTCCTGTCACCCGCCCTCCAGTAGCAGCGATCCCACGGTCTGGGGGGGAAGGGGGGAGTGAGTGGGGTCCCTGTCCCTTGGGGGACTGTGGCACTTGGGGAGGGGGTGCTGGAGGGAGGTGTCAACGGGAAAATGATGCATTTTGGTGATCTGTGCTGCAGCACAGCGCAGGAGTCACAGGCAGAGTTTGGGTGGGGGTGCGTGGGCAGCATTTTTCGGGCTTGCTGTGAAAAGGCAGGCTGTGTGCACAGGTGACAGCTCGGTGGCTCGGCCTCTCTCCCGCAGCCGACTACATCGTGATGCAGTTTGGGCGTGTGGCGGATGATGCCTTCACCATGGACTACAACTACCCCCTGTGTGCCGTGCAGGCCTTCGCCATCGCCCTCTCCAGCTTCGACGGGAAGCTGGCCTGCGAGTAGCACCGGGGCTGCCGGGACCGCCGGGGCTGCCGGGACCGCCGGGGCTACCGCCAGTGCCCGCAGGATGCTCCTGCATCCCTGTCCTGTTCCGCTCCCTGCATTTCCACCTTCTTGCGGTCACGGTTGTTCCTGGGGTGGTTCAAGGCACTTGAGTGCTGTGGGATGCTCACCCAGCTGCAGCCACCCTCTCCAGTCAAATTCGGGGCAAATTGCTGGGCTGGGGTGATGGCAGAGCCAGGCTGGAGGTATATCCATATTCTGCAGATGAGGCTGACTGCAATCCCTGTCTCATCCCTTTGGACTCAGATTCTGGAAACTCATCCCCTGCCCCTGCTTTTTTTGTTGTTGTTTTTTTGGTGGGTTTTTGGGGTTTTTTTGTTTGTTTGTTTGTTATGGTTTGTATCTTTATGCTCAGTCTCCCAGTGAGAAGGGCGTAGGTGGTCTCCTCACTTTGTGTTTCCTCATCCCTGCCCACACGCAGGTGGGCTCTGCCTATGCTCCCAGCTAAAGAGCCTCATCCCACCTCGTTGCCCACCGGGCACAAAGCCCCACTTTTGCCCCATTTTGCCCTGGTGTGAGTGGATGGCTGGTGCCTATGGTGTGTTTGTACCCACTGGGTCTCACCTCACTGCTCAGAAAATTCTGGGGGTTTAGGTCCCTAAGAAGCAGCCTGGCACCGGCAGCACACAGGCACGTGCCGAGGGGTGACAGTGCCAGCAGAGGAAGGCTGGCAGGCACGTGAGGCAGAGCTTGCATTGCTGGCAGGTGGCCCAGCTGGGTCAGTGCTGCCAGGAGAGACCTGGAAGAGAAAAAACTCAGGGTGCACCAGGAAGCAGTGGAGTGACTCATGAGGTGTGGTGCGGTGCTGAGTCACGCTCAGCACCCAGATGGGCCCTGCTGAGCTCCCTGTGCCCTCAACTCCTGCTGCCCCTTTACTCTGTGACACCCCTCCAGACTTGATGTGCTCCAGGTGTCCCCACAGCTGCTTCACTGGTGCTCTCTGTTCATGAGAGGTGCTGGAGAGAAGGTGCCATCCCCTGTCAGACTGGTGAGGAGCTGCAGGGAGTCATTGGGAAGGGAAGATGCTGAAGAGAGGCAGCTCACTGGGAACAGGACAGCTCATGCCCCCAGTTTCATCAGTTATAGGGTGAGGATTTGGCTGCACAAACAATCCCAAATCTGATTAATTCAGTGATGAGAAAAATGAGGATGTGCCAAGGAGCCTTGAAAATACCGTCCTCAGCTCTCTGGTGCTGTTTCTCTCACCTGCTCAGCTCACACACACTGACTCCAGAACCACGTGGGATTCCCTTCCCAGGACACAAGGGGTTGTTTCCCCATTCTGGGGGTGATATGATCCCCCCATTAATGCAGCAGAAAGGCTGAGGAGCAGATAGATGAGATGGATTGATTGTGCAAGAGGGATGCTCATCCTCTCTGGGCAGTGTCGCAACATCACCGTGGCCCGAGCCTGTCTGTGAGGAGCTGAGGACAAATGACAGTGACAGGGGGACCACGAGCCACTGCTGGACCACTGGTGATCATCTACCCCAGTGTTTTTGCAGATGGGAGTGGAGATTTTCCCCAGCTGCATGAATCTGGGTTTCATGATTCACGGGCAGATGCTGGTGGTGGGGCAGGCAGTGGTGGACACCTTGGGGACAAGCCAGCCCACGTGGGACATCACCCATCACCCACGCAGAGAGCTCAGAGAACATCTTGTGAGCTAAAGGGAGAACCAGCCACAGCAGTTCCTGGTGAGGTATGGCCAGCAAATGTGGGGAAAGCAAGAGCTTTCTGCCCAAATCCAGCCACAAACCCAACATCTGTTTGAAATCGGGACAAGCTCAGCTAACGGTTGAGCTAATCCTTGTCCCCATTTCCTCCAGTGCAAGGAGAAAAGAAGAAGCAGGGTGAGAGAGAGAGGGGTTTGAGCTCCCCAGATTCTATCTGCTGTTATCCCAGCTGCTCCCCAGGGTGATTCTCCCTCCCCTCACCCAAAACGTTTCCATTTGCCCATTGCTGCTTGCAAACCCTCCAGGTTTCCTGGCCTGTCACCCATGGCAGAGCAAAATCCCTGCCACGGGTGTCCCACGCAGTGTCACCCAATCTCAGAGCAGCCACTGCCTCACCCGAAATCCCTTCCACAAACCCTCTAACGCAAACCAACTGTGGCAGAAGAAACGAATGAAAACAATTTAATAGGGCGATGGATGTTCGGGCCCTTTGTTTGCGCTGGCTGTTAACACCAGAGGAGATGAGGGATGGAAGCAGTTGAAATGTGTATCAACTTTGGCTGGCGGAAAGTGTGACGGATGCACCAGCAGACCAATGGCTGAGGATGCTGGGGTGTGCGTGGGTGTGAAAGGAATGCTTGCTGTAAGAAAAGATAAAAAAAAAAAAAGGAAGAGAGAGCCTTATCAATGGTGTTTGAGTCCAAAGTGTGTGTATTCCCTGGAGAAAGGGTTTCCTCAATCCCCAGGGATGATGTTTTCCTTGCAGTGTGAGACTTTGAGGTTTCTGAAGCTTCGTTTTAGGGGCACTGTCATTGGGTTGGTGTTGCAGGCATGGATTTAACCCCACAAAGTGCTCATGCAGGGGCACAAGCATGGCCAGTGGCCAGAGGCGACTGTCGTCAGCTCCTCAAGGGAACCTCCTGGGAAATG